TCCCTTTGTGTATGCTGAGGCCTACTGATGCAGAGACTGCTGCTACACTGGCTGTCTTCATCTGCATCTGTTCGTGTGTACGTGATAGGAGGGCTAGGTCGTCTGCGAAGTCCAAATCGTCTAATTGATTCTGAGTTGTCCATTGTATTCCGTGTTTTCCTTCAGATGTTGAGGTCTTCATAATCCAGTCGACCACCAGAAGAAAGAGGAAGGGAGAGAGTAAACAGCCTTGTCTGACTCCAGTCCTTACTTGGAATGCATCTGTCAGCTGTCCTCCATGCACTACTTTGCACTGTAGTCCGTCGTATGAGTTCCGGATAATGTTGACAATCTTCTCAGGAACTCCGTAGTGTCGAAGAAGTTTCCATAATGTCCTCCTATCTACACTGTCGAATGCCTTTTCATAATCAATGAAGTTGATGTATAGTGATGAGTTCCACTCAACTGATTGTTCGACGATGATCCGTAGTGTTGCAATTTGGTCTGTGCACGACCGATCCTTACGGAATCCAGCTTGTTGATCTCGAAGTTGGGCGTCTACTGCATCCTTCATCCGGTTCAGCAACACTCTGTTGAAGACTTTCCCTGGTATTGACAGTAGTGTAATGCCTCTGTAGTTTTCACATTTGCTCAGATCTCCTTTCTTTGGAATCTTGACGAGGTGTCCTTCTTTCCAGTCCATCGGCACTTGTTCCTCCTCCCAAATCTTTTTGAATAGAAGGTATAGCATGCTTGTGGTTGCTTCGATGTCTGATTTCAGTGCTTCAGCTGGTATGTTGTCGGGTCCTGCTGCTTTCCCGTTCTTGATTTGTCTGACGGCCATTCTAATTTCTTCCGTCGTTGGTGGGTTGACATCTATAGGAAGATCTATGTGTGCTGCTTCGATGTCCGGTGGATTCATTGGAGCCGGCCTATTCAGGAGTTCCTCGAAGTATTCCACCCATCTGTTACGCTGTTGTTGAATTTCGGTGATTGGCTTGCCTTCTTTGTCTTTGACCGGCCTCTCTGGTTTACTGTATTTCCCTGCTAGTTTCTTCGTTGTATCGTGAAGCTGTTTCATATTTCCTTCTCTAGCAGCTTTTTCTGCCGTCGTTGCTAGTTCTTCCACGTATTTCTTCTTGTCGGCTCTAATGCTCCTCTTCACTTGTTTGTTTGCTTCTATGTATTCAGCTTGTGCTTGGACTTTCTCTGCTCGTGTTCGGCTGTTGTTAATTGCTGCCTTCTTGTTCTTCCTTTCTTTGATCTTGTCCAGTGTTTCTATAGAGATCCATTCCTTATGATGGTGTTTCTTTAGGCCCAGAACCTCTTGACACGTTGAAGTTAATGCTTCCTTGATGCCTTTCCAGTTGTCCTCCATAGTAGTTTCTTCTTCATTCAGTAGATCTTGTAAGGCTTGGAACCTGTTGTTGAGAGCTATCTTGAATTCATTGAGTTTGTCAGTATCTCGAAGGAAGGCTGTATTGAACCTTTGTAGTGCTGTTTGTCCACTTGTCCAGTTCTTTTTCAGCTTCAGTTTTAAATTGGCTACAACTAGGTGGTGATCTGAAGCTACGTCAGCACCTCTCCTGGTTCTCACATCTTCCATTGTCCTTCGGAATTTTTTGTTGATGCAAATATGATCGATTTGGTTGAATGAATTAGTCGATTAAATATTTATTTTTAAAGTGAAAAAAATATAAGGATGATTTAATGAAAATTATACTACTAAAGTAATATTAAGTAGATGGATAAATGATTATCTGTCATAAGATAAGGTTTGAAATAAGATTCTATCTTTCGTTCTATTCTATGATAAATAGATACGCATGTGTGAGTAAATATAAAGACTAACAAACTAGCTCACACATTTAAAAAAGTGTAAACTCACACACAATTCAAAGTGTACAACTATATATATGTTCTATTTATTCCAATTTTCGAAATGTTCATTATTTTTCTCATCATCTTTGTTTCCCTTGTTATCATGATACAATTTATTATACCATCATTGAATATATATAAAATAAACAACACTTAATAATAAATTATGACTTAGTTTATCAGGTGCAATTGACGTATCGCGGGAATTATACACACTCATTGTTTGGCTTTTATCTATTTTGCTCATTTTCTGTTAGAGGGCGGACATTGTTAAAACAAGAAAGAAAAAAAGGTAATAAGGATAGACTAGAAATAGACTGTAAAATAGAAGTGAGCAAAGAAAAGAAAATATTTTGATCAATTCTTCTCTTAAAACATAATGAGGTCGAAAAAAGTCTCTTTCTCTTTTCTTACTAGGTTATTAACAAAAATGAAGGTAAAAAGAAAATTTAACCAGAAAAATACTTTATTATTAATAATAATAATAATAATTATTATTATAATAATATAATAATAATAATATAATAAAATTAATGAGAAACACAATGAAGTGAACTACACATGGTAGAAGTAGATAGTATGATTGAATAAGGTGAATAAATTAGTCCTACTCATTCTCTTCCCTTCACATTACAGAATCAAAAACAAATTTCTATCAAACAATGCAAATTATAAATAATGTCAAGTTTTATGATGTAAAATGAATGGATCGAATGTTTTCTGGTGTTAAACTTGTGTTTATTCTTTATAATATATATATATATATATATATATATATATATATTAATGTGTTTTGAAAAGTAAAAATTTTTAAATTATTCTCTTGTCATTGATAAACTTCAAATAAATAACAATATCACAAGGGAGTCTTGTAGAGATTTTAGTCATTTTATAATTAAATTCATGAGTCAATTGAAGCTAGACCATCATGGAAAACCTAGGGGCACTGAACAGCTCAGTGGTTTAGAGGTTAAGCGTTTACGAGCGAGACTAATAGGTCCAGGGTTTGAAACTCGTAGGGCGAGATCGTGAGTGCACACTTATGAGGAGTCCCATATTACGACGAAACGGTTTTCCAGTGCTTCCAGGTTTTCCATGGTGGTCTAAGTTCAATTGACTCATGAATTCAATTATAAAATAACATTATATTAAAGAGGAAGAATGTATTTGTAAAATCTCAGTGAATGAACTTGAAGTAAATTCAACGTTTCGCTTGGCAATGTGGATTTACTTCAAATTCAAATACAGTTACAAATACATTCTCCCTTTTTAGTGTCTGATATAAATTTGGCGCTTAAATACTGCGAAACTTACTTACTGACTTACGCCTGTTACTCTTAATGGAGCATAGGCCGCTGACCAGCATTCTCCAACCCACTCTGTCCTCGCCTTCTTTTCTAGTTCCATCGAATTCTCGTTCATTTTTCTCATGTCTATTTCCATTTCTCGGCGTAATGTGTTCTTTGGTCTCCCACTTTTCCTTTGGCCTTCAGGATTCCATGTGAGGGCTTGTCTTGTGACGCAGTTGGGTGCTTTCCTCAATGTGTGTCCTATCCACTTCCAGCGCTTCTTCCTGATTTCTTCCTCCGCTGGGATCTGGTTTGCTCTCTCCCAGAGTAGGTTGTTGCTAATAGTGTCTGATCAACGGATCCGAAGTATTTTGCGTAGACAACTGTTAATAAACACCTGTATTTTCTGGTTGATGGCTTTCGTAGTTCTCCAGGTTTCTGCCCCATACAGTAGAACTGTCTTGATATTTGTATTGAAAATCCTGACTGTGGTGTTGATTGACAGTTGTTTTGAGTTCCAGATGTTCTTCAGTTGCAGATATGCTGCTCTTGCTTTGCCGATCCGCGCTTTCACATCTGCATCAGATCCAACATGTTCATCAATGATGCTGCCCAAATATGTGAAGGTTTTTACATCTTTCAAATCTTCTCCGTCAACTGTGATTGGATTGGTGCATGCTGTGTTGTATCGGAAAATCTTGCTTTCCCCTTTGTGTATATTGAGACCTACTGCTGCTGAGGCCACCGGTGCTTAATCCATAGAATATTAGAATTTAAGGTTAATTGTTCCATAAAAATTTCTTGATGTAGAAATCAGTCACTTGTTAGAATCCAGTTGAAATGATTAGTAAATCTTATCTATATCATTCATTTTATTCACTTTATCTAACTCATATTAATATATGTTCATTTTTGAAGTGTTAGAGTATTTATTGAAATTTATAACGTGTGAAGTTTTATTTAACCCTTAGAAGTATCTCTTCCATAAGTGTTTTCATATGGAATTCAAATCATATTTTGCAACAATGAATTAAGGAATCTTCTAAAAGTGTTTAGACAGTTTTGTTTACCTGTAGTTTTGAAAATCATTTTTATTTCTAGTTTAATTGTAAAGTTATCTGATAATGATTTTTATCATAACCAAGCTCTTATGTAACTCAATCTCTTTCGCTTGAGCATATTAGCTTTTGAACAATCAGGAAAGATTGTGGTGGCGAATTTTACGAACTGAATTTAATTTGTGATGGTATACAAAGTTTTCAAGATATATCATACTTGATAGTCTTATGTATTATGTTTCATCTGATAAGCTCATTTGTAAGGTTATTTGGAAGTAATGTTAATAAACGCATTGCGATATTTACTATACTAATGATTTTCTTTTTAGCTAAGAGGAAATTAAATTTTACATCAATGCTCTTAGATCTCGGTTCGTGATAAAATCACCTTGCTATTAGTCAAATCTATACAAACTCATATTCAGAACAAGAAACCTATAAATGAAAACTTTAAAACTTTACATTGATGACGTGACTTGAGAAATATTCTGGGTTGAATGTAAAGATAGCTGTTTGTCCATTTCATTTGACAAAATTAACCAAAAGATATGAGTTCTAAACTATAAGATTTCCATCCACTATCTTAATAGTAGAATAGTTGCCACAAAAGTTAATATCTCATGGTCCAATTTGATTTTAAACTAAGATCATATTAAACAGTTACTTACATTATTTTAAGATGACAGCAACATTTTTCGTTGCTATAATCTATTCCGTGAATGAGATTTTTATTTTTATTTTCTACAATTTTTGACTACATTATTATTCAATTAATTCTGTTTTATGTATACAGTCATCTGTGAGTCGCAACCAAACGGGATTAAGTGGATTATCTAATGCCACGTCTACTGCAGTTATCCCAACTTCCATAACTGCTGAAGCAGTTACTATAACTGGCATTCCCACTGCAACCGATTCAAGCGAAAGCAGTTCAATAGAATCATATTCTGATTCACAAGTTAATTCTCATTCAAATTTAGCTCAAGTTTATATGAACCAGTCTAACTTTTACAACATAAATTCTCATGATGGAAATAACACATGCTCAACTATTATTAACAATACTAATACTACTTCCACTACAACCACTTCTATGAGTAGTAAAATCCATACAAATGATATTGACAGTGATAGTGCTGTAATTAATGAAGATTCTGATAAATCAGTGAATTTCACACAAATCGGTTTGATTATTCTCCTCAATCATTATATACGAATTCTTATTATAATCAATATTTTTCACAATATATACGAGATAACATTCCTTTGAATAGTATGTTACCAAATATGAATGACACTCTAAACTATACAGAATCATTAAACAATCACAATATTAATAGTAATCATACAAATAGGAATTATGAATATTCTAATCCTTGTGGATTTTATTCAAATTTTTTCTTAAATCCAAATAATAATATACATTCTGATGATATAATTAGTAATTGTTCTACATCTTCGACAAAGATGAATTCAGCGAATTCGTTACCTTATCATCATCACCAAATCAACATCATCATCTCCCTACTCATCATCAGAATACTCAGCAGCAGCAGCAGCATCAGCATCGACAATATAACCAATTGCGTAATCATTATCATTCATTACTTAATGATGCAATAAGTAAGGATAACTGTAATGATTCCAATTCCGTACATTCTATGCCAAATTGTTCATCATCAACAATGAATCCTACAATTCAACCGCCTAATTTTATTTATCCTTATATCGATGTTTCTGATGATGTACAGTCACGTTCACATGAAACAACTCATCTACAACATGAAACTAATCAATTAGAGCATAGTCCAAACTCAATACCATATTTACAACATGGATTACATTCTCATTATCCAGTACTTTCTAATAGTTCGTCAATTTCAGTAGCATCCACATCGCCATCATCATCATTATCTACATCATCATTACAATATCACAATCTTTATCAATTACAACATTTTCCATCAAATCATACACCTTCATCTTTATTACATAATTCACAATATAGAGGATATCGTACTAATTGTATACCACCAAGACCAGCATCAAGAATTCGACATACAAAAGCATCTTCACTGAATGGTTCAACCCGTAGTGATAGTTCATTAAATGATGATATACAAGCAGATAGAATTGGGATTAAATCAAATGAATTAGGAGTAGATGAAACTGGTAAGTGTTTATTTATAAGATCAGTTTAAGTAATTCTATAAGTTTATAAATGAAATTAATTGTTGATTCATATCAAAAGCGATTTTGTGAATATTACAATAATTTCAATAGTTGAGATCATGAGTCATTTGAAGCTAGACCACCATGGAAAACCTGGAAGCACTGGATGGCTGTTTCGGCCAATTGTTGGACTCATTAGGAGTGTGTATCCACGATCCCACCTCGTGATAATTGAACCCAGGACCAATCGCTCTCGCGCTGATGACAATGGTGGGTGTGTCGCTCACTTTCGTGGATTGGTTGAAGTTAGGCATTAACAACGTTGGATGCCGGCTCATTGTCCTAGAGGTTAAGCGCTTGCGCTCAAGACCGATAGGTCATGGGTTCGAATATCTCGAGGCGGGACCGTGGACGTGCACTGCTGAGGAGTCAAACAATAGAACGAAACAGCCGTCCAGTGCTTCCAGGTTTTCTATGGTGGTCTATCTTCAATTGACTCATGATCTCAACCATTGAAATTAATAGTTTTCATATTATTGATAAAATTAAAATAACAATTTTATTTAAATGAAATAATAATTTTTTTCTCATAGTGATTAATTCAAATATAAAAAAATTTCCTGTCCTCCCTAATCATTTATCAGTTATCAGTGCTGTTTTGAATATCGGTGTGAATTGACAAATTAATAAAAATAAAATATTTCTGTTCTAAACGATAAGCATTCAATAAATGGTTATATAATACAAAATGGTTGTATTAATTGATTGGTTACAGACTCTATCGATTTCTAAAGACTTGCAGAGTAATTTATAACCTTTGATTCTGTATCAATATCAGTAGTAGTAGTAGTATAGGCATTTATAGTGTGATTAATAGTGTAAGTAATACTATTGCTACTTGTAGTAATAATAGCTTCGTTCTGCTGAGGAGTGTTTACTAATATGAAATCTATTACTAGGATCTCTTACCAATCAGCTTTCAATGATTTAACATTTTTTCAATTCCTTTCAATCCTTTCTTTTAAATTTTTCATATATCTGTAAATAGAAATTTGTACTTTGATGAAATATCCATTCAATAATTTTCTATCAATTGTTAAACTTCATTTTCGAATTAAAGATGAATTCTTCTGCATAAATGATGTCTGAATATCAGTTTAATCTTATTCTGTGTGTAATGAAAGGGTGACAATTATAAAATCTCAGTGGGTTTTTTTTTCAAAATGGTTGAGAAACTTTCTTTTTATGAATGAGTAAATTCTAAATAAATATTTATAAGTAAATCTAATGATTTTCTGGAAAGTTTTGTATATTTCTATTCAACTTCCATTATGAATTAATTTCAACTGAAAAGTCGTTTGAGACTAAATAGACATATATATGATGGGTTAACGTTGATTGAGGACTCTTTAACTGGTTACTTGGAGTAATATGGAACGCAGAAATGCACTAATACAGTTGTCATAATTCAATTCAAGATAAACTATAGGTTTTATGCTATCAACTCCTTCATAAGTTCTCGGAATAAGTAAATAATTTAGTTTGTACATAAATAGATTTATGTAAAAAATATTCGTTTAAAACTTTACGGGGGATATTAACTTTTCATTTTGTTTTGTAAAATAAAAAGAATTAGGTGTTTTTAACTTAGGTGTAGACTATCATCTCACTAATCATTGAAAGATTGACTTGTATATTAACCGAATATCAAATTTATATGCTTTTCAAACACCTACATGAAGCGAAATACGTCGTTCTTGTTCAAATAGTTTTGATTACCCTATAGTAACATACAGTTAGTATTAGTTTTATGATTAATTTTAAACAATATTCTTAACGGTGGATTAGCAATTACTTTAAAGTAATATTTCATTAAAAACAGATAATAATCAAGGTATTTGATCGCATCAACACTTATCGATCACACTATGCTAATTGGTGTCAAAACACTTTCGAACTTTGTAATTATGCATAAATGAGACTATAAAATAATAGTCTTCATTTTATCAAGTAAAATATTTGACATTTGAACACTACAATGAAAAGGATTTAATATTGAACTCTTTCTGAAATATTACTTTTCTTCTATAAGGCACTTAAAATTAAAACCGATCATAGAGTAGTTTTTTATCAAAATTATATTAACCAAGACTTTGATTATAGAAAAAATTTCTAATATTTCTCAAATGATAGTGTATTTAATAGTGTTTTATTGTTTTATTGAATAACCAACTGAAATCGAATAATAATTTTTGATAACTAGTATTCAGTCACTGTAAAACATACTTGACGATTATAATGAAATATACTAGGTTTGATTCACAATATGAATATCAACAATGAGATCCGATTACATCGAATTGATGAGTTGCAAATGTGATAAAACAAGCTTTCAGGTTTGCAAAGATGATAATAATCCATCTAATTAATATTAAGTTAGCTACTTGATTATAAACTTTATATTGATTGAATGAAAATATACTTCAGCAAAGAACAAATTGTAAAAACTTCTTTCTTCTACAAATTTATTCTAAAAATTAGTTTTTTTTATAGTATTTCATCAAAAAACAAATCACAGTTTTTTTCCGAAAAAAAATATTTTTTTCTTTTTTTGGTTGAAACGTTGCTATTTTTTTCTTTTGGAAAAAAAATTCGAATAAATGTCAAAATATTTTTGTATATTCAACAAACGTATTTTTTTATCCCCCCCCAAAAAAAATGTGAGTCAGTTAAGTTAACTTTTATTTCAAATGTATTAATGAAGAGAAATAGAGAAGTGAGCAACTGTAATATTTATCTATATATTTAGCAACTATTCGTATGTTTCCTTCGACAACAAAAATATTTTTTTCATTATAGAAAAAGTGCACAACAATAAAAAAAAGAAGAAGCAACACAATACAAAGTGATAAAATGAAATGACAAGTGATGCTTTGTTTTTAAAAAAATAAATAAAATAATAATCATAATAAATTTTGCAAAATCTCTCTTGTTTATTTCATTTTATTTTGCATATGTTTATAAAAGAGATAGAATAAAAAGAAAGTTTGTATTTTGATTGAACATGAAAGTGGATGAATTATAGAATGGAGACTAGGCAGATTATTATTATTATTCTTTGTTTCAAATATTTTGTGACTAACAGAATATAAATAATATATATATATATATATAATATATATAATATATTATATATATATATATATATATATATATATATATATATATTAAAATATGTTTTAGCTGACATTGTTGACTAAGAGAAAAACAAACACTACACACACTGACATTCCGTTTATCAAACCGCTCATCCTCTGACTAGTCTCTACTTTTACTTCTAAAGAGAAGACTATATATATATATATATATATATATATATATATATATATATATATATATATATATATATATATATATATATATATATATATATATATATATATATATATATATATAATGAGACAGTGAATAGATAACTTAAGGGTAAAGCTTAGAAAAAATACTGACGACAACAGCATGAAAGTCTTTCTCATTGTACATTGGTTATTTGAATTTTTTTTCCAAAATTGAAATCATAATTTTACTTTCGTGTATGAATTTATAGTAGTACAGATATTAGAAAAACAACTGAAAATTTTTTGTTTTTTTCAAATTGAAAGTTGCATAGTATTTGTACTAATGTTTCATTTTAAATCTTAATATTCTTTTTGACAAAAAAAAGAAAAAAACTACGTCAGAAATTATTTAGTCTGTGATACAGGAGGAGGAAAATATTTGCTTGTATCTGTTATCTATTTTAAACAGTTTCTCGTATTTAAACTAAATAAATTTACCTACAGTGTGATATATATACAGTCAACATCAAACCCTGGAGTAAGTGATGAGTTGGCATGCAGAATATATGATAACTGGTCACAATTTAACAATTTTGTTGGCCGAATAATCTACTGTGAGCGGACACTTTACTCTCATTAATTTTTACTCAATAGGTATTCAACACATAAGTAATACTTCAATGACATTATTAATTAACTGTCTTTATTCTTGCTCAATATTCTCTTTACAACATTATAGTTTTAAGTTAGGGATAAAATGTTAACATGTTTAATTTCTAACATGGTTTTGAATATGTTAGAAAAACCACTAAAAATCAAGGGGGCCCTAAATAGATTATAAATTCTCCCAGCATTACATATTCATGACTTTGTAAGGAATCAAGTCAATAGACTCAGATATCAGCCACGAGTATTATATCACTCAACGATTATATTCTTATTTTACAGATTTATTTGACTTGTAACAGAGTACCGACGTTATTAATGAGTTATTATATTACTATCATCTTGATTCGTTTCACTAGTAATAACTAAATAAATTAAAAAAGATCATTCTTATCTATTTAAGTTTCAAAGTTTATTATAACAAGATTTAATTTGTGATGAAAATTATTTTCAACAAAATATCTTTATCTTATATAATGATACAAATAGTTGAATTCTGTATATCTACTCCACAGAAAACTTTGATTTGCCGTTGTCGTTGTTTGTTTTTTAAAGGTTTTCTTTACAAATATATGTAGCATATCATTTGTTCACATTCGACATGAAGGGAAAAAAAACACATTCCCCAGTCAATATGTGTACGTGTGTTTGTGTTTGTAATCGTTATCGAAAAACAAACTGAATATTTCATTAAACTAATTAGATTATAAAATATTTCATTAGATCATTTTCTTTAGTCATGCAAAATTTCCTGTAAAAGTAAAAACAAAACGTAGAAAGGAACTTGAAAATAGAAGTATAAGAATTAAATTTGAAAAGAAAAAGTAAAAAAACAACTGGAAAAGAATAAATCCTGTCTAAACGCATACATAAATACACATAGAATAGATGAGAGAAATCTATTTGTGCATATCTATGTGTAATTGAAAGAGCTTTCATTACACATGCACCTGAATACTTAGTCTCTATTATCATTTAAATAAGTAGATAATTCCATTT